TATAGGAATTTAAATAAAACTAATGAATAAATTATTATAATTTTATTACAGACTACAGCAAGTGCTCAAATTGTTTTTCACCGGCATCAATACATGCACGGCAACGCCTTGAAAATGACCTCTTTACCAATCGTGCATATCGTCTTAAATTTATCAGTTGTACATCTTCCGTCGTTCTTCGTCGTAATTCGGCAACGGTTTTGCATAAACTTTTTCTTTCAGACAACCCCAGTAAAAAAGTGTAGGAGGTTCAAATCTGGAGAACGGGGTGACCGAGGCGCCCAATCCGTCGACCTGCGTACTCTTCATTGAGATATTCTATTGGACGGGCACAATGCGCAGGACACCCGTCATGTTGATACCACATTTCCCGCAATGTGCTAAGTGGCACGTCTTCCAGTTGATCTGACACCCCGTTCTCCAGATTTGAACCCCCTAGACTTTTGTAAAGGTCATTTTCAAGGCTTTGTCGTGCATGTATTGATGCCGGTGGAAAACAGTTTGAGCACCTGCTGTAATCAGTAATAAAATTATTTATTTATATTCCTATATCTATCGAGAAATTTGGAATTTTGAGACTGTTCCTCACTCAATCATACTTACCATTTTTACCAGTCAGTCTAACTCCGACTACATGGATATGAAACCTAAATTAACCTTATAGGCACTGAAAGCTATTTTCACTTAGAAAAGGTAACCTTTTTAAATTGGCCGCTTTTTAGAACCTTTTTAAAACCAAGATAATTTTTTTCCAAGAAGCATGACGTAGAAGGTTTTAGACCATTTTAAAATCTTGATTAGTTGCGCCACGGAAGTGGTCTGTGAGTTGCGCCAACTTTTGTAAGAAGTTGCCATGGTAGTCTAGGTACATTTTTTTTACAGTACGGGGTGTCAAAGTTACCTTGAAAAAAAATTGCTAAAAATTTGTAGAAAAAAAATTAAATACAATATTTTTTGTGCAGAAACTTTAGCAATTCGGGCTTTTTTTAGCATTGTGTTCATTAGCTGGGCTATTTGGGTTGCCGTTACAAAAAGTAGAACAGCAAAATTAGCAAATTTGTAATTGTGAACAAAAAATGGTGTACATTTTCAACATTTTTCATTAAAATGCTTAATATCATAATAAGCCTCCGATTAAAAAAATTTTTTTTCTGGGTTATTACAAACCAGGCAACATCCTGTTCCCAGGTTATCGTTGAGTTTTGGGACACCCTGTATACCTACGAACCACACCGACTGATTAACGGGTAAGATCCATCTGCGTTGCGGAGCGGTCAACGAATTTCATTGTCAGGAACTTATCACGAGGGAGCCACCGACATTGCTTTTTTTTTTATTCCGCGGATGCGATTCTGGTAGACCATATATAATATATAGCTTTAAATACAATGTGGAACCATATCACTATTGTACAAATAAAGTTTGACATAGTCGAAGGTACGGCGAATTTAACAATTCGTATATTTTTTACAGGCACAACTAGCACTTCATAGTTACTAGTCTTTTACGAATTAAGTACGTACGTACGTACTACTTATCAAAAGTACAACCTACTACAAAGATCTCGAGAAATTCAACACCCAAGTAGGGCGTGTTGTACGAGACAAGAGAAGTAGCTGCTCCGCATCCTTGAAATCAACTGATCTTTGGGTATAGATTATAAATACTTATACATTTACAGTTTGATATTAGCCATTAATTTGTGAAGTCAGGTATAATAAATATGTATCACTCTGGTTACTTAAATCTAGGTTGTGATAGTAGTTACCTATATATTTTTTTTAAAATAAAGTTTAATAAAAACAAATACCAGTGAATTTTATTTAGACACCCATATTCCCCTTCAGTATGTACTACACAGGTTGCTAAAAGAACTGGTATATTGTTGAGTGACCAATATTAAATATCAAATTTGTAGTTTTCTACTTTAATTTTTTACTAGAAATATTTGGCGTTCGTTGCGCCGTGTGCCGCTGGGCTGCTAAATACTTAGTAATACTATACAACTATGGATAAAGTGGCCCGCGAGGGCTTTCCTAAAGCGGCCCATTCACTACCTGCAAGTCAACTGCAACGGCGAACTCGCCGCACAGTGGGCCCAAATTCATAATTATTGGACATAGGAATAACTTGTGGAGCATCGAGCTATTTGTTTTAAGTAATAGATAATAACATTACTAACAACTTTTATTCTTGTATAATTTCTTGAAAAGTTGATATTTTAGGAGAAAATAAATATTTTTTTGTATGAAATATAAATTTTATTTTTTATCTTAAAATATACGAAAATGTAATGTGCGTGGGTTACGTACAGTATAGTTCCAATCATTTTCTATGTAGAAAAAAATAATTCGTTTAGAAAGTATATGTACTTGCGGCTTTGTATGTACGTAATGATGCGGCAAAATTGCTAACTTATATACTTTTTAACAAAATACATGGGCTTCGACTAAAAAAAAATTAATTTTAATGTAATTTAGAAAGTGTTATAACAATAACACGAAAGTTAAGTAGAAACTAGTATGTTGTGTTAAAAAATAAATAACAAATCTAACATTTTGCCACCTTTTTAAACGTAAAGCTGCATGTATCTGCAGATGGATTATTTTATTCTTGATAGAGAATGATTGGACCTATACTATAAATGTACACATTACATTTTCCTACATGTCGAGATAAATAATAAAATGTTTATTTCTACAAAAAAAAAACAAATTTTTTTTCTCTGAAACAATCAGCTTTTTAAGAAATTACATAAGAATAAAAGTTATAGCACTGGAAAGACGACCCTAATGGCAAGGACTTGAGTATGATTTTCAGTGCTCACTGCAATACTCAAGTCCTGACTTGAGTATTGAGCAGAGTTTTCCAGAACTAGTATTAGGGTCGTATTCTAGATTTGACTATGGTTTAAAGCACTCGAAATCATTCTCAAGTCCTTTAGAGTCGTATTTCCAGTGCTTGAAATCATACTCAAGTCTGCTCAAATCCTGACTTGAGCATTGAGTAGAGTTCTGGAATACGACTCTCAGGATCGTATTCTAGAACTCAGTCAAGTCAAGACTTGAGTATTGCAGTGAGCACTGAAAATCATACTCAAGTAAAGACTTGAGTATGATTTTATGTGTTGGCCATTAGGGTCGTATTTCCAGTGCTTGAAATCATACTCAAGTCTGCTCAAATCCTGACTTGAGCATTGAGTAGAGTTCTGGAATACCACCCTCAGTCTTGTGTTGTGGAAATCGGAAACAACGACGGTACCACAAACATCCAAGACCCGAAACAATATGGAAAAGCTCGATTCCTACACTAACCCAGCCGGGGATCGAACCCGGGACCTCAGAGATGGCGACAACATGAAAACCGGTGTGTAAGCCACTGGACCACAGAGGCCATCAATTTTAGTTTTAATCAATTTTTAAAATTGAATTTAAAAAACAGGACGTCAGTATTTGAAAACAGTTGTGAAAATCTAAAATGTGCCAGCTGAAAAATTTTTCGAATGGCACTTTTTGCCCTTTCTTCAAACACGGACAACTTGTTATATTATTAAGTATGTCAAACTGTAGAATTCTGTACAAAACGTCGTTTTACGTCATTTTTTCTAGCTTGAAATCTATATGATACACTTACTTTAAGAGTTGGCGACCTCTGTGGGTGCTAGACGAGGAGGTTCCAGGTTCCATTCCCCAGTAGGACCAATTTAGGAAATTATTTACTAAATTGGTTCCTGTCTTAATTGGTCTGGGTGCTCTGGGAAGTGTCCCAGATTGAATTCCATTGCTCTGGTACTCATGTAAAGGTTGCACGAAAAGAGCCTTCCCGCACAATGATGTAGCATTCCTTCCCTGTATGTCTGGCAATCCTGGGTAATAATCGGCAAGTACCCTATGCCAATTGGCAAATCCTTTCGCCATGATGGCCAGCATTACAGTGTATGCCATCAATATGATAACAAGAATAGTGAAGGGAGTTCCCTAGTAACAAATTGGTGTGGTTGTCTGACACATTACATTATTGTATGGCTGAATGTATGAATAATTCCTAATTATGTAGGAATTATTTTCATATGGTGGTTGACACTATGTAAATCTCAGCAAAATACTCATTTTAAATACATTTAAGTAGAACTGGACTGAGATGATTTAGAAATGAACCAGCAGTAAGTGTAACGTCACATAGTCATTTATATGATTTACTTTGAAGATTCAAATGTTAATTTGAAAAGTTTAAACAAAGTAAAACTGGCATGAAAGGATTTAGAAAGGAACAGTACAGAACGCAACATAACATACTTATTAATATAATTTACTTTGTAAGATTCAAATGTTAAATTGAAAAAATCTAATCAAAATGAGATTGTTTAAACTATCTCTTTAAAAAAATGAAATTTATGAATTTTTCTAATAGTAAAAACTAGTCATTAGCATCTAAACATTCCTGTTTTAGCTTTAAAATTCTGACAAATCTTAATTCAGTATACTCACTGGTATACTGAATTGAACCTGCAATAATCGCATTGTCAAATAGTAGCAGTAACAAGTCATCCTATTGGGTAGTTGGAGATATTTGATCTAAATTTAGTGTTTATATTTTAAACTCTAGTTACAACATTATATACCACTTTGTATTTTCCCGAGAACAACTTTCTATATGGTTTTGTAACAACTACTAGTTTTAACAATGTCATATGGTCCAAACTTCACTTTATGCAGCTCTAATGCTTCTGGTTTGTTATAAAAGAATCATTAGGTCAACACAGTGTTTCCTAATTTATATGTTATTAGTAACAATTAGAATAATAGATTGTTTGTTAATTAAGGCAACAATAGTTATCTAAAATAAATAATAGCAGCTTGTCTGGGTTGTTTTGTTTAATTTATATACATTCCTTAAGATTTTAAAACATATTGCAATGGTTAGGGGTGACAGGTAAGAACAATTTCATTGAAAATTTATAGTTTAGCTAGTCAAGGAATGTTGAATAATATTTTACTTAAGAGATTTTAATGTGCGACATGGGGTAACTTTCATATTATAAATGAATTATACAGAAACGTGTTATGAACACTTACAATTTTTGAAAATAATGAACGTCTAAGATTCTAGACATTTTATGTTACATTTAGGTAATTCAATGGTTCCAAGAAACTAATTTATATAATCACAAAAATTATGTTTATTTACTAAAACAGCAAAATAATTTTCACAGACTTACTGCAGATATAAATAGAGCTAGTATATTATATAGCGTCAACCGCGTCCGCCTCGTCCTCGGAGCTAACCTCGTCGCCGAACTCGATGTCCTCGTCGAGACCGTCCACGGAGTACACCACGGTCTCGTTGATGCGCACTGTCTCGGGGAACTCTCCATACGTTTTAAGATTCCTTGCTTCGTCGGGGGTATACTTCAGGATAACATCTGCTTTGGCGTCTTGGTAATCTCGTAAGCCGATTAGTATTATGTCACCTTGATTTATCCATACCTTTTTCCTAAGTTTCCCTCGAATATGACACAGACGTTTAATGCCATCAAAGCACATGGCCTCCAAGCGGCCATTACCGAGCATCTTTGTGACTTGGGCGTACTCCTGTCCATCTTCTTTAAAGACTAACTCACGCTTTTCAGTTTCATTCTCGTTCTTTCCCCTTCTTCGATTTTTACCACCTTTTCCTTTATTCTTCGGCATAATTTATATAATCTTGAGTATAAACATATACAATTATACTACGAAAACTTCATAGAGTTGCTGTTGATTGACTCTTGGCAAAACTGCGTTTGACAGGAGCCACGCACGGTGCGGTTGTTTCTGTTTTATTGTTTGAGTAATTTTTATGTCATTATAATAGAGTGAAAGAGAGAGAGGGAGATTAAAAATTGTGAGCCAATTATTTGATTTGTGATATTTTTTCTCTTTCATTTTTATTGTTGTTGTCATTGCAATAAAAATTGTAAATGGCAACACAGTTGAATTTGCTGATTGGTTGAATTTTGCCACTAAAATAGGTCGACAGCAGCGGCAATAGCGGCAAATGTTAATACTACTTGGTAAATTCCATTTTGTAAAACTGCCTACAGCGTACAATAGATAGCGCATCTAAGTATTTTAACACCGTATGCTACTTGATGCTGAATAATAAACAACCAAATGATGCCCATGTTAATAATTTAGCAAAAAATAAACCAAAAAATTTACGGCCTGTTATACAAAAATCACTCAGGTGGTTTATTCTATCAGATTTAAAATTGCTTCGATTTGCAATTAGGTGGCACACTGACTATTTATCCCGTTATTGGCGCGTGGTCGCTGCTGTTGTTGTTGAATCAATTAAATCAGCGGGGTAACGCTCGAAAACGTGGGCGGAAACTATTACAATTAAATATTTGATGTAAATCGAGTTTTGTTCTTTAATGATATTATTACAAAATGCTTTTATTGGACTAATTTCTTATAAGAAAGCAGAGAAACGGGTGAAAAACGGCACGACAAGATTGTTGTTTTTTTATTAGTTACTAATGATAATTTTGTTATTACGCAGCGCAGTATATGTACATAGTTTTCTATATAGTTGATTAATTCTTTTTCTTTAAAAGGACTCTTAAATTGCACTTCGACACACGCTACTCCGACTTATCGACACACGCTACTCCGATAAAGACATATCTTTCATGGTGCCAGTATGTATTTAAATTACAATCTATTTTTATGACAAACACATCTCTCAAGTGATCAAAATTTAATAGCACTGTTCTAAAGTAAATAGATTTTCTAATATTTATTGGTCCAAAAATGATTTTACTATAGCTGTTATTTAATTCACATTTTTTCATAACCCGCCTCATAAAGTCGTAATCCAACAACATACGACTTTTTGCTGGTTTGAATTGTTGAATCAAACGTCGTATCTTGCTGTTTCGACTGCTATCTACGTTCAATAAACTAAATTTGCATTTGTGAACAATCGTATATCAAGGATACGACTTTATGTAGGGCTGTGCTTGTGTTTTACGACCTTTTGTGTATTTATTATTTTAATAAATACTGAGTAATAAGAATTTTTTAATACAGAAAATCTAAGTTACTCTTTAGTAAAAAGTTTTTACATAAAAATATTAGGTATTCACGTTTTTAATCTTTATTTATAGAATCACCACTACTTCCCCTTGGTATTGTGGAAACCTAGGAATTCTGCAAATCTGTATTAACTATCGATTATTCTTTTGCAACTAAGATAGATTTATATGATTCTAATTTGGCAAAATTTAATACAACTTCACTCATCATGTACAAAATTAAGATGTCTAAATTCAAAGCTATTAACTTAGACTTTTAAAACACCAAGGACACATTAGTATTTAAAGATGTTCCCCATGTTCGTTGTAGTAGTCCTAAACGGACATGGATCCAGGTTAAAGAAGTTGCCGTTACTCGTCTTCAGAACAATGTCATTTACTACCGCTACGACTTGGAAACCCAAAACTCAATGACATTAGTTCTCGGCAAAACACAACTATGAACGCCATTTACCAATCACTTTCGATGAAAATAATGATTTGATTAATTTCTGTGGTGGTCGTATAATAGTTAATTTGGGGTCATGTTTGTAATTCAGACTTAATTATAACTTAGGTCAGTGTCTGTGTTTCTCACCAAAATTATTTGATAGGTACATTTTATATTCTTTTTATTTTAAAAATTGCAATGACAGATTAGTAAGCAATATTATAAATGTTAGTACAAGTTCTAAAAATAAATTAAAGTGCTGTTTTTGCTACTGGATTTAACTTATCATTTATAATAATTAATGTGATGTCATGTTTGTGATTTAGATTTAAATTATAACTTAGATCACTGTTGATTGTGTTGCTTTGATATGAGTGATTGAGTTTAAGTAATTGTGTTTCTAACCAAAAATATTTTAAAGGTATACACTTAAATTTTATTATTTAAAAAATTGCTATGACAACAACCAATTTAAAATTATATGTTAGTACAACTTCGAGAAAAAACCAAATAAAACTAGCACTAATTTTGTTATTGTACTAATCATTGCAATTATTAAAAGAAAAAAATTATAAAGTATAACTGACCTAAGTTATAATTTAAGTCTAAATTACAAAGAAGAAATCACATTAATTGCTTTAAATATAAGTTCAATCCAGTAGCAAAAAATTACCTTTTGTTTTTTTAAAAACTTGTACTAACATTTATAACGCTCTTATTTTACTAATCAGTTAACGCAATTTTTAAAACAAAAAAATCAAAGTGTAGCTACTAAATCTTTTGGGTAAGAAACATAATCGCTGATCGAAGTTATAATTTAAGTCTAAATTACAAAGATAAAATTTACATTAATTATTATAAATTTTAAATTAAATCCAGTAGCAAAAACAACTTTTTAGGTTGTTTTTTGGAACTACTACTAATATTTATAATTTTGTTATCTTACATATATCATCAAATCTTTTTGCTAAGAAACACAATCATTTAACGAAGTTATAATTTGAGTCTAAATTTACAAACATTAGGTCATCTAACGACCATCTTCTAACGACACACAGCTTGACTTAAGTATAACTTCTCCTGACTTCGTTGTTAATCATGGCCAGTTGCTTGCTCGTGGATTTGCGAAACATGACCTTATTTATGTTCAATACAGATTAAAAATCCCGAAAGTTAAATCCCCCATAGTATGGATGCTTAACTTTGAGAGTCTTAACCTCGACATGTTGCGAAAGGATGCTGCTAAGCTTGATTTTTCTGAGGTATTTGTTGCTTCGTCAGTTGATCTGAAAATTTCCAACCTTAACCAGTGTCTGATCAAACTGTACGATGCCCATGCCCCATTAAAGGCTGTTAGAGTTAAACGGACTCCTGCTCCTTGGATTAGCAGAGGCTTGCGTATGGCTATGACTAGATGTGATCGATTGTTTCGGGTTTTCAAGCGGGATAGATCGGAGGCTAATTGCAATCTGTACAAGATTGCTCGTAACAAGTGTAATAGGATGGTGAGGGCAGCTAAGCGTCAATAGTTTTATAATAATGTCTCTAATTGTTCATCGGCTAATATCTCAGAACTTTGGCTTGGGTAAATGTTCTGCACAACCAGACTCTTATCCTTTTACTCCGAACGACTTCAACTGCCATTTCTCGTCTACCCCTTCTATTGCTCCTTCCGTTAAGGCTAACACTATACGTGTTATTGCATCCAGGCATCTATCTTCTTCAGTTTCCTTTTCTTTTCCCCCGATAACAGCTGACAATTAGCGAAAAAATATATTTTCTATAAAATCTAAAGCTATAGGGTGTGATGAGGAGAGCAGAGAAATGATTGTCAACATTGTTGATCAAGTTCTCCCTACTATTGTTCATATCATCAACTTCTCCTTACAGCATGGTGAATTCCCTCGTATTTGGCGTAAGGCATTTATTATACCTTTGCCAAAAATCTCTTCTCCAGTGCAACTAAATAATTTTAGACCTGTTTCTATTTTTCCTTTCCTCCCTAAAATCTTAGAATCTGCTGTTTATCAACAAGTATCTTCTTTCTTATTTTCTAACAGCCTTCTTACTCCTTTTCAATCAGGGTTTCGCCCGGGACACGGCACGACAACAGCTCTACTCAAAGTTATCGAAGACATCAGGTTGGGCATGGAGAAGCAGTTGGTCACTGCTATAGTACTCGTTGACTTCTCCAACGCCTTTAACATGGTAGACCACGACATTCTGCTTGCCAACCTGAAGTCTCTTAATTTTTCGCGGTTGTCACTGGACTGGTTCTCGTCTTACCCTCGTGATCGCCAGCAAGCGGTCCGTGTGAGTCCAAAAGTTTCTGACTGACATGATTTAACAACTGGTATTCCGCAGGGTGGAAATCTGTCACCACTTTTGTTTTCTCTTTTTATTAATTTTCTTTCCTTCTCATTTAACTGCTGTTACCATTTTTATGCTGATGACTTGCAGATTTACACGCAGGCATCTGCTAAGGACGTTAATTCAGCGATTTCTTTGATTAACCGCTATCTACAAAGCGTTAGTGCGTGGTCAACTAATTACGTAATTACTGCACGTTATACTATCTCACGTTCTACATCCTCAGATCCAGAATACTTAAAATGTAAATTTCAATATCTCGGGGACTCTCACAACCTCCCTATTCGATCCATGAATTCATTTTCACTCACTGTACCTCTCTTTCATTCTGCCTTCATGTCTGACTCATTAACTCTCCAATCGATACATCCTTGGAATGCTCTCCCGGACTTCATCAGGTCTCCCAGTATATTGTCTTTCAAAAAGAATGTTCATGAGCATCTTTTAAATTGTTTGTCACAATGATGACCATCATCATATTTTGTATATTATGATGAACATATTTATTACATATAAGTTATTATTAACGTGATATTTTGTTTAATAAATATTAATATAATTAAAATAATAATATGTAATATGTAATATAATAATATGTAATATGTAATGTAATATAATAATTCGCCGCGTTCGTGAATTTTGTTTTCTTAAAAGTTGACTGTTAGAGAATGCTTATAGCATTAAGCCGCCTTCTGTACAATCATGTCTTGTAAAAATAAAGTTTTAATAAATATATAAATAAAGAAATCATATTAATTTTTATTCATTGTAAGTTTTTTTATGATATTAAGTGTGGAAAGATCAAGTCGTGCGCCTGATGGTAAGCGACACGTAAGTGCCACTCAGGGCTTTAAATTGCAAAG